GAACCATATTTGGCAACAAATTCCTGGTTCGGTCTGAGCTCAAATATATCAGCACCAACTTGGAATGCATTATAACGTCCAATCAGCTCAAACTCTTCTCTGAACTTGCGGTAAAGGTCCCTAGTATAGGTTTTGTAAGCTTGCTTCTCTATTGGGAAGTTGGACCACAGCTCAATCTCAAGGTGTTCTGTCCTGTAATCATTGCAGCCTTCCTTGGCAAGGATGTGGTTCTGGATTTTTTTTAATATTGCTTGACAAAGTTCAGCATTGAGTTGTGTTGGTTCACATATCTTTTCAGGACGGCGTTGAACCCCTCACTATGCTGTGTAGACTGTAGGAACGAGAAGAACCTGTGCTTGAAGTAGCACGGCACCCAAGTTAACCTGTATTCGTACAAGTTCTCAAAGTGCATATGTGTCATAGCCTCGTACTTCACCATTAACCCAGCCCAATTCTGCCGAAACTCGTCTATAGTGAAGTTGAAGTCAACACACTTGTTGAAATCATCAGAGAGTCCTGGATTCCGGCACAGCAGCCAACCAACTTTTTCCTAAGCCTTTTTCATGATGTGCCATCGACAACAGCGGTGCACGGTGGTTGGAAAGATGCTCTGTATTGACTGCCTCATTGCACCATCCTGATCGGTGATGAAGTTGTCAGGAGGTTTGCCATCCATAGCCTCTAGGAATGCTCCAAAGACCCAATCAAAGCTCGATGCCAACTCCTGCCTCACAAACGCGCAACCCAGTATGAAAGATTGGCCATGTCGGTTTATTCCTATGAAGGGCGCGAACGGCATATTGTACATGTTGGTCATGTAGGTGGTGTCAAACGATATGCAATTGTGGTACGCCTCCGCATAAGCTTTTCGAGCTAAGCCATCCACCCAAAATATGTTGACAACTCTGTCCTCTTCATCATATTTCACCTTATAGAAGAAGTCTGGATCGGTTTTTTGTATATCCTTGAAGTGCGCAATTGTCTCAATCAGATCACCCTCCTTTGTGTCATCTCTACGGAAACTTGTACAAAGATTAGTTATTGCCTTTGGTCCGAGTGGCACCATCATCTCAGATCCATAGAACTCTGCCATTACATGCATCATACGTCCTGCATAATACAAAAACAAACAGTATATCCTTTTTTTAGTTGCACGAATGCGCACATCCAGCTGCACAGTAATAGGACATGTGTTGGCACAGAAGATAATCGTAGGAAATGGACACCTAGCTACATCTTTTTTTAAACACTTTTGCACTTGTTGCATACAGGAGATTGTCTAGTTGCACAATATAGACAATCTAGTTGCACAACAAGCACCAAAAGTGAAGTCATTTCAGTTGCACACCAGTTGGACATTAGTTGCACAGTTAAGTCATTTCAGTTGCATAGTAGTACCATAACAGTTGCACACTGGATTGCCTAGAGGAAAACTTAATTCTTTAAGGGATATAGAAAAACACCACACCTATAGTCAACTTGCAGTTATACAAGATGCGCAGAAACTCCTTTTCATCAGGTGAGATGCCTTGGTGGGATCTCAAGTATTTGGACAATGAAGGTTTGTTCACTAACGGATGATTGTGGTCACGAACAAAGTGTGTCACCTCTCATCGCCCATCTATCAGCTTCACCAACATTTTCGCTTTGCACTGAGTCTACTTTATTGTCTCGCGTTTGCGCTTCTTCTTCTTCTTACTAGTACCAGCCTCCTCTTCAGCAAATATTGGAGGTTCTTCTTCCATCTCCTCATCACTGTCAACAGATTTTGGATCTGGAATAGGGTCCAGGACAGGAGGAGCGTCAGCTCCTCCATCATCAGCTTTGGACTTCTTGAACTTGTTGCAGCAAAACTGTTGTTTTATCAATTCATTGGTGCGGGGTGTCCGTCTAGATGTGTTCATTTTGATAGAGAAACCCATCCGTAGTGCGTAGCTATTGTAGTGATCCTTAGCAATTTGAAGGCTGTCAAACCTCATGCCAACATAGGGTTCCATAGGTTGAGAACCAGCCTCATCCTCTCCTTCTTCTTCTTGCACAGCTCCGTCAACAGCCCCAGCTCCTAGCTCAGTCCTGGTTGGACCAGGAACATTTGCCTCGGTTCCCGTGTCATCTAGAGTATGGCTCTCTGACTGCAAAGACACCACTACATGGGCACCACGGGTTGATGGCTGGTCTGCCACATTGTCATGACCCATAGGGTTTCCACCATGACTTGCCTGCGTGTAGTAAATAGATCGAACATTTTCTGTCCGGTTTCCTTGTGGTATGCTGGGATGCTGCTAATCCGTATCATGAGGAAGCTCATTGAGATCAGGAGGCAACTCATTGAGATCAAGCATTTTTTTCCTTTTTTGGATGCTGCCACACACTCACTACACATATAAAAAAGAAGAAAGTGATGTCATCAGTTGTTAATCATAGAAAAGAGTGTTTTCAAACAACCTAAAAACTTAGTAAATAGGTAGTTGCACACCATTTTATGATAATCTTAGTTCCAAAAGCAACATGTCTGTAGCAGAATCTATTATTATAGCATGCATGCATTTTTTTGCTTTTGCACAGAGTTGTTATGTTAGTTGCACAGTTTGCAGTAAATTGTTGGCAAGAACTTGACTTCTTTTTACCACAGAGTTTTTTGACTTTTTCCTCTGCTTTTGTTGCAATGATCCGCACGGTTTCCGTTGGCAAGGAGAAAGAAGAAAGAAGAATTTGATGCTACTTTTTGCTGCACATAATTGGGACACAATTTGATGCTACTTTTTCAGATGCAAAATCTAGGTGAAAGAAGAAAGAAGAATTTGATGACAGACTATAGATATATATTTTTCGTCGTCATTTCTGTTTCTACTTCCAGCATATTTGAACATATTTTTACACTATAGCTTTGCAATAGGTGTGCTACCAGAATATATGTGTGGGACAAGCAATATATGCATGACTACTTTAATGTGGTTTTATGGCTTCAACAACCTTGTTTATTTATCTGTTGCACATATTGCTGCAGAAGTTGCCGTACTGCAGTTTTTTGGTTTTGGCTAGGATAGATCTTTGAGTTGGCCAGGATGCATATATCAGTTGGCCAGCATGCAAGTTTAGTTTGACAGTCAATGTGTTCAGTTTTGCTAGAATAGATGTTTCAATTTCTCAGGATGCATATATCAGTTGGCCAGCATGCATGTTCAGTTGCACAGTCCATGTATTCAGTTGGATAAAATAGATGTTTCAATTTTCCTAGGATGCATATATCAGTTGGCCAGCATGCATGTTCAGTCGCACAGCCAGTGTGTTCAGTTGGCTAAAATAGATGTTTGAATTTTCATGGATCCATATATCATTTTGGCCAGGATGCATGTTCTGTTGCACAGCCAATGTATTTAGCTGGCTAGAATAGACATTTCAGTTGGCCAGGATGCATATATCAGCTTGGCCAGGATGCATGTTCTGTTGCACAGTCAATGTGTTTAGTTGGCTAGAATAGACGTTTCAGTTGGCCAGGATGCATATATCAGTTGGCCAGCATGCATGTTCCGTTGCACAGTCAATGTGTTCAGCTGGCTAGAATAGACATTTCAGTTGGCCAGGATGCATATATCCAGCAGGCAAGCATGCATGTTCAGTTGGCTAGAATCATGTATTAGTTGGCCAGAAAATATGTCTTAGTTGACTTGTTGAACACATAAAAGGGGGAAACTTGCTTGGCATGCATGTTTAGAAAAACACGTTCAGTTTCGATCTGGGAACCCTAAGT